CATTTTCCTCTTCTACACCACGCGAACACACCTTCGACTTGAGCCGCCGCAGTTCTCTCTCCAAGGTAGAGGCCTTGAAGACGGCTTTACAGATACCATCATTCGACCTTTTTTTCTTCTCGAAAACACCAGACTGAGCATGGAAATTTTCAAACTTGCGCCTGCGGTTCAATACTCCCTCCGATCGGTCCTCTGTGACAACATTGGGCGCGGCGACAGGCATGGTCACGAGCTTGCTCGTCTGTATGGATGCCGGCCAAGTGGGAGTCTCGTCAGCTGGTGGACGCCCCGTCGGTTTATTCCACAAGCGGGAGACGCTGATTGGGCCCTTCACACCCCACTTCCTGATGCTTCAATCGACTTGCTCATGAGGAAACGAGGCCCCACTTCTCGAGAGCCTTGCGCTTCGTCATCACTGCTTCTTTCAGGGCCACCGCCTGTGGATGAGATTCATCGCGGGAAGAGAAGACTGTGAGAACCCGACTGATATCTTCCAAACTCCGATCGAGGCTGATCGTGATTAGTGCCATAACCAGAATGATCTTCGTGACTCACTCGTCCAGTTCGTTGAAGGCCAAGGCTCTTCGGTACATTGCCTTTGTGTTGTCTCCTGAGTGAGAGAATACCAGGCATGCACAGAATCGTATGGCAAAGAACAGTCAGTGTCACTAGTCCATTGCCAGCGAGATTCTAGACTAGGTGAGGCCTCACGGTCAAAATGCGATGCCGAATCGCAATCCTCCACCACTATCCTGTAAAGAGCGTCTGTCGTATCGCTGTCATCTTTCACAGCAGCGGTCTTTATGTAGCTCAGAACGGCAAGGGCTCTATTGCTGTGGAGAATCTATCAGCCAAGTTGGGGTTGGGACGCTCGTTTCTCACAAGCTACCGATCGCAGGGCCGTGTTGGACGATTCGGCTTGGACATGGCTGTTGATACAGCGAGTGAGCATCTCGACCGACTCGAGGAACCTCTTTTCCTTGAACCTAACTTGACCGTATCAGACCTGGTCTTTCGATGCCCCAGTCGAAGTCGGCTGTTGTTCGTGCACGAGGAAAATCAGTAGAATGTCAACGTGTGACGTTGCCACCGTGGTCATTGTTTTCAAGGTCCGACTATGTACCATACAGTGCAATAGCCTTCGTCTTGCCGAGCTCAATCGATAAGCCGACATCAAGAAGCATGGAAGGGTCTCGAACTATGCCCAGCAAGGGATCTTCCCCAACAGACACGTCGTCTACGGCTTCGGTCGGGGGCTCGCATCCCTGAGATCAGGAAGACCGCGGGTAGCCGTTGCTTGCTCTACTCTACATCGTCCGCAGTGGAGTTCTTGTTAAGCTCATCAGGAGCAAAGAGCCCCTGAGGTGTCTCGACCAACGACGGGGCCCCTCCCACTTTCACTTCAAGCTCTTTATGGTCATCATCTGCTTCTGCGAAAGGCACAATCATCTTTTTGAAGCACACCCTACAGATCAAGTCACCTCCTTTGCGACTGTCGTCTCCACTATTTCGAAGCTCGCCATTAGTCATGCGGTAGATATCCCCCCTGGCTTGGCCACTTAGGTATTCATGGTCATCATCTGCGTAGGGGCAATCGAGTCGCTCATACACAGGAGCTACTGCTTCCAGTTACTTCTTGAATGAGGTACCGCATCATCGTTCGTGAAAGGCAAGAGGGTTGGCATCTCTGAACTCGTGACGAGGGCCTGTTCAACACATCGGTACGTGTAGTGTGAGGTTGCGCTGGGCACTTCCTGTTCTCTATGGTGGCATTCTTCAAAGCTCCTGATGAATCTTTGTGGATCCTTTTTGCATTCCTTGCAGACGGGTTTCGAAGGCCTCATCTTCAACTTTTCTGTGCAGCCGTAACAGAACGGTCCGTGACCGCAGGGTTGCGCTGTGTACCTTAGCGACTTGTTACACTGAGCAAACGTTCGACCACTGGAACTGGGCTCAGCCGATTTGTGTCAGACAGGGTATCCAAGAGACTCCCCCTGAGTTTCAAGCGCTCACAGGATCGAGTTATACATTGTAATGCAATCCTGAGAGCGCTCTTGTAACGTAGGAGGGATCTATCGAGTATTCCGGGAGAACGGCAGGGGTTGTTGGTCTTCGGCCTCACCTAGCGTCGCCACTGAGTGGCATCTCACAGACCTGACAGGTCCTCGACTTCGACTTACTCACGCGAGGCGGTGGTTGAAACTTCGTCATCTTTTGTGGCTTGAAAGATTAATGACTACAGTGTGCGTCGGTTCGCCGTGACTGAACGCAAGCCTGATCAGTCACAAGCAAGTAGTGATTCATGATAAGGGCGTGGGCGGACAACTACGCACAAGGTCACTTCAATGGTAACACGGAGTTCGCAAAGGGTGAATGCTACAACGTCAGGAAAGGCAGCCCATGGACTCCATGGCATGGAGTCCCCTGTCCGAGTCATTCAGCAGATGCCTTGAGCCCACTGTGCTTTATCTTTCAGAAAGTAAAACTTGAATGCGAGACTGTTGTCACCAGGCGTGTATTGAATCTACAGGGAGAATCGAAGTATGGTAATTGGGAAGGCCACGAAAGGCACGCCATGACACCTTAGCGGCCGAGGACTCGATACTCTTGATTATTGCGCAAAACTTGCGCACGCATGAGATTTTCGGTTGACGTTCCACCTAGGGTTCATTAACCACCACCCAGGAAAGTATAGGGGAACTCCAGGGGTCCATTTCACAAGCCTCGGTTAGGCACGAAAATCGTAAGGCGCTAGGCGATTTTTGCACCCAATAGCGGTTAGGTTATTTCACAAAGACTGCAAATCGGGGCCTAAGGGTAAGGCGAGGGACCCTGAAGTGCCTCACCTTATAGGTCCTGTGCCTATCAGATGCAAGGTGCACCTCCTAACGTGAGGGCAGGCATGATGTGAAGTACCGTTCCTGGGAGTAGTGCAGAAAATGATGTGCATGCGTGCAGCCATTTTCGAACGTTTCGCGTGCCACGAAAATACTTCGACACCACAGCGCAACTTCGATCGTTATTTCCCTAAGAACTTGGTTCATCGATCAGGCTAAGCCATTCAATATAATGGTCCTGTTTCACGAGGATTCTAAACCTAAGGGGCCTTGAGCTTGAGAGCAACCTAGGGACTTATTTCACGTATACTTAGGACGGTACTCAAGTTCAAGACGGAAATTTCTCCTATATAACAGATCCAATGGCTCGCGAGAACTACGTGTGATGCGGCCGTTCCCATTTTGCCAGGCCTTCGCAGTCCTCTTGCTGATGAGTTAGACGATCACTGCAGAGCTGCTAGCGTTATAGTTGATTTTACACTTCCTAAGCACCTAGTCCCTTCTTGGTCTCATCGACTTCAGAAGGCGACTATTGTCGTTGTGTTTCCGTGCGATGCCTTTATGAACGAACTTTGATATTCAAAAAGGTGTAGTCTTATCGCCCAGACTCAGTGTTCACTCTCCATAGCAATGGCAGGAGCTGGTGCAGGCATGGACGGTGCTTTCTACTACGGTGGGGGCGGTGGCTTCGACGATGAGCCCGCCTTAGACCAGAACCTCCTCCCTGCTAACGAAGGCCAAGTCCCATAGGTATCACGTCGTCTCGTCTGCTATTCGAATTGGTAGGCACGAGCCGGGTTCAAGAAATTCGTGAAGGAGTTCAGGCAAGGACAGAAATTCGTCTACAGAGATCAGCTTATCGACAATTGGAGTCGCGGCGTGTAGGCCCGCCGTACCGAGGGGTGGTTGTTTTGAACTCCCTCGTGAGGTATTCGATGACCCTATCTGTTCACCATCTTGATCAATTCGCCCCTGCCCTTGGTCACGCCCTGAGGACCCAGCCGCAAAGATTCATGAGCTCTTATGAGCAGGCCATGCAAGACGTTTTCATCGAACTGAGTAGCCACAGTGCTCCTAGTGCTATTACGACTGCTTTCTGACAGGCGGTCTGCCGGAGCCCGTTGATGGGGGACAGGTCCAAGTGGACGACCAAGGCTTCCGTCGAGGCATGCCTACATTCCAGCTCAAGGTGGGAGTGGGACGGGGCTCTAGTGTAGAGAAATGATGTTTACTTTCAGCTGGCCTCTTGGGAGAATCCAAAGTTGATTCGTGAACTGCAGAGCGAGCATGTCGAGAGGCTCGTAGTGATTCCGGGAATAATCGTGCAGGTGATACCACTCTCACAACAACTCCTAATCAGCCTCGTTCCCGCTCAGGCGTCCATCAAAGTCCACAAGGCGTTCAAGCTGCGCATACGTTGCAAGAAGTTGGTCGCCGTGTGGTATCTGTTGAAACCTTTTATTATTGTTTCTAATAGGTGTGGTCACTCCCGCACACTGGATTTGAAGGCAACGAGTCGCAGCAAAACAGCGATCCCAAGAAGGTAGCAGTCACCAGTTTTTCCTCTCGTATTTACCTCAGGTGTGCTCGAGAGCTTTCGGCCGGCCCCGATGGTGAAAAATGCGGCCTGGACCCGTGAGTCGCCTCTTTGCTCGAGACTAACACTGGTCCTGTGTTAAGGTATATCATAGTATCGGAACAATGCCAATACCAAGACACCCAGACGCTGAAGATTCAGGAGCTGCCGGAGGACGTACCAACAGGAGAAATGCCACGGAGCATACCAGTGCACTGCACTCGCTACCTTACTGATACCGTAAATCCGTCACATCGTGTACGGAGATAGAGGCAGGTCGCTGATAGGTTACTGCTGGCAGCAGAGTGTCGGTCGTGGGAGTGTTTAGTACAGAGGATAGGAACGGCGACAAGAAGAAGGACAACGACGGCAGCGTCAAAGTGTGCTACGTTCAGGTTGGTCCTATCTCGTGGCAACACCCAATGATCATCTGCGTGCTGCTCCTCAGGCTCTTGGGTTCATGCCTCATGGAGACGTAACTGGTCGAGGCGGGGCGTCAGGGAATACACTGAGGCTCTCCCCGGCAGACGAGGAGCGGTAGGGGTTGGAAATTTATGCGAGGTGGGTAGTCTTCCAACAGGTTCACTGAGTTGGCTAAAGACCCTGAAATTAAGGAGAAAATAGTGATGCTACCTATGTCTTGTCGTTTTCTGAGTGCTCATTTGTTCAGTTCGCGTCGGTGGCCCCTGCAATCAGAGGCAGTGTTAAGGACTGTATCAGCGACTTGAAGATCGCTATTGCTTGCTTGTTGTTTGGGGGCGCACAGAAGACCCTTCAAGATGGTAAGGACATTGCTGGGGTCGCTCGAGATTGAATCGATGAGGTACTCGATTGAGAGGAGATATTAATGTGCTCATGCTCGGTGATCCTGGTACGGCGAAGTCGCAGTTCCTGAAGTTCACAGAACAAGTCGCCCCGATAGCTGTGTAGGTCTGCTGGAAGAAGTGGCGCTCGAAGAGTCATCAGATACACGAGTGGGAAGGGCTCGAGTGCTGCTGGTCTCACTGCGGCTATCATACGAGACGCTGATGGGCGCTTTGCCCTAGAGGGCGGCGCTATGGTAGCAGTGGAAGGTTTTAGCCCTGGGGAGGTGGTTGTAGGTCCTTGCTGACGGTGGAGTGGTATGTATCGATGAGTTCGATAAGATGCGGCCCGACGATCGTGTGGCGATCCATGAAGCTATGGAGCAACAGACTATCTCTATTGCCAAGGCCGGCATCACCACAGTAGGGCGCTTCTGGTGGTGGAGTTGGTCGGCAGCTTTTGGTCGCAGATTCTCAACACTCGATGCTCGGTCTTGGCGGCGGCCAACCCACTGTTCGGGCAGTGGATGGACGTCGCTGATGCGGCTGAGCAGATGGATTTCGCGACCACTATACTGAGTCGATTCGATCTCATATTCCTGGTCAAGGACGTAGGTTGGCATGGGCATGTTCGTGATGGGAGGTGTGGTGTGTTCAGGTCAAGGATGAAGAGAGGGACTTGGCGATCGCCAAGCATGTGTTCGGTGAGGGGTGGTGGGAGAATCTTTTAGGGTGAACGGCTCCTGTCAGAACTACACAAAGCAGAGGGACGTCGAAAGGAAGGCGGCGGCGGTGTGGCCGGTGAGGAAAGGGAACAGGAACTCTTTAATTGAGGATTCCTATCAGAGGAGGAGGAAGAAGTAACTGATGCCCCGATCAAAGTTCAAGACCTTAAGAAATACATAGCATTCGCCAGGCACAGGTAGCAGACGGGTACGTCTCCGTTGCCGTGAGATTTGGTGACAGGTGCTCACCCAAGCTCACCCCGGAGGCGGCTAATGTGTTGCAGAACCACTACATTCAGGTTAGGTGAGTTATTGCATAGTCTGAGCAGAGAGGAAAGAGTTGTTGGTGTGAATAGACAAGGCGTGTCGAAGGAGCGCCGTGAGGGTCATAGTACAATCCCTATCACCGTCAGACAGCTTGAGGCGATCACCCGGTGGGTTTTTGTCGCTTTCAAAGGGTGATAGCGTTCGAGTTTTAGTATTTCTGAGGCGTTCGCGAAGATGAGCTTGTCGGAGTGGGTGCAAGTGAGTCACGTTGAAGATGCGGTGAGGCTGTTCACCCTGGCTACTCTCGATGCCGCCAATCGCAACCAAATGGGAGGAGGCGCTCTGACTGACGAGGATCGTCAGAAAGTGTATGTCGGATGAGAACACATTTACTCAAGTGGTTTTCCCAGGTATCAGGTGGAGGATGCTATCAAGCGCAGGTTACAGATCAGAGGTCGCAGGCCTAAGACGGCTTTGCACAGAGAACTGGAGAAGGACTTTGAGCCCAAACACGTGCAGCAAGCTATCAGTGAGTTCGGTTGGGGTGCTGCCTGGCAATCTGTGTCCTTTCAGAAACCTTGCTACTCCGTCAAGTTCTGGAAGAACAAGGACACGCCTATGTACGACGTTCTTGAGACTATGCATGGGGTTTCGAGTAAATTCATGAGCATTTGCAGTGAAAGTTTTTGTGTTTGAAGTGCAGCTTTTGACCCATATCACGCAAACTGAGAGAGATAGTGATACGCCAGATATGTGTGATAGAATTGGCTCGCTTACCACAACAAGGGATGCTGTTTACGGGGTGTCATCACTTCTGCTTGAATACTCTTCTCTCGACACCATCGGTCACTGATCGGAGATCCATCATTGAGTCTGTTCCTTTGCAACGAGTGGACTCAGAAGCACGACGTTCCCTCACGTCCATCGCAATGCACGCAAGGGTGAAATTCGTCGCCATCGACCCTGGGATAGCTCGACTGTAAGGCGTGCTCGTTGGGTTTACTTTACCCACACAACAAGCTGTGCTTCGCTATAGTGGTACCCACCAAAAGAAGTTACCCCAACCTTACTAAAACCCAACGAAGTAAAACTAGCATGATGAGACGTGAATAATGAATCGCTGAATGTCCTGTGTCTCCTCTATCCTCCTCGGTGAGCGAATGAATCTACACTGGCATCTGCAATACCACCCGATATGACCGATAGCTACCGCGAGGTTGATATGATGAACAGAGCTGAACTGCTCGGGAAGCACATGGTCGATCTGTAGGCCAGAACTTGAGAATGCTTGTCAATACCCTCGAGACAGTTGTCGAGTGCACTTTCTCGTTTAACATCACAATTGTCTGTGTCGTGGGATTCAATTGGGCATTAATGCTAACGAGCATACCTGAGCCTCTGATCGTCTCCATTTGGGGAAGTGTTGGCTGAAAAACTCAAATGTGTGTGAATTGGTGACGACTGGCGTCCCGAGGAGCTGAAATATCTTGATGAGTGTCATGACCTCACAATCGCTCTGGAACAGTGCACGATTGGTGCCTGAAGCATAGCTTGGTTCACCGTCTACCTCAGGCGTCTCACAAAGCTCGTAGATGACCGCTCCTGCGCTCCAAATATCTACAGCAGGGCCGTATTCTTTTGCACCAAGGAGGATCTCGGGCGCTCGATACCACAGAGTTTGGATCTGCCCCACGGAGTAATGGAAATAACTCATTGTTAAGGCCAAGATCACTTCCCTAGTGTAAGCACGAACATCCGGCCGGAATGTCCGAGCAAGTCCGAAGTCCGCTAGCTTAAGGCCTGACCCAAGGAGTCTCGTAAGTAGATATATGATGGTTACATGCTGAGCCGCTATGCATGTTGCCCTTAATGAGAACATTCTGGGGCTTCACATCGCGATGCAGAACGCCTTGTTCATGGCAAAAGCAAAGTCCGGCAAACATCTGCCGCCTGAAGGAAAGATTACCCTCATTATTGTGCGCTGTAAAAATCAGCATCATCGAGCACAGATCGTACGAGTATTCGAGTCGCTGATAGTCAGTCGTGATCGCGCCATGGCGAACAAGATACTGCCGTAGATCGCAGTCACACAGCTCAAAAGAGATGCCCACGGAATTCCCACCGGACTCATAGATGATGTCTCGTAGGCTGACCTACACATACAGGGTGCATGCAACATAGATCCGCATCATGAGGAGGGGCGACACGACTCACAATGTGTCGATAGCCGCTGTCTCTTTCCCCGACATTATTGAGGACCTTACGTATGGTACCGAGCTCTCTCAGGACAAGTAGAGGGCAGCCCTCAATCATCGGATCGAACGTGACCTGTTAGTGGAGAAAGTCGGCACCAAATGAATGGCTGGCGACCGTTCTCACAAGCTTCAATGCAACTCTAGACTTGCCAAACGTGTCGAATGCGCGATACCTGATGAGGAGTTGCTCTCTTATTAGTAGCTAATTGGGATGCCAGATGGACTTACACTTTCCCGTATGTGCCTTCACCCAGAAGATCTCTCTGTTTGTTGTACGTGAATCTATTCGCGTAAAACCTATCTCCATCGAGTTGCGGATTGCGCATCAGTAATACGAAGTTAACGACGCACAGCAGAAACCGGCACGTATGTGCCCCCACCAACGACTTGGGCCCCTACTATGAACACTCACTCAATACAGTTTGAATATCATGACCAGTGTTCAAGTTTTGACGAGTATAGCGGTGCAGTTACGGCCAGGCGAGGGGGCTTATCCTGGCCTGTAAAACCTAGAGGCTAGGCTGGCTACAATAAGTCGAATTCCGCTGTACTCGATAGGTTTGTTGGTCATTGCTTGATGAAATCGCTTAGAATATCTGGTACGCAGTTGACTGGCATTGTCTCTGTTAGAAAATGACTCACCTGAGCTCGATTAATACACTGATCTCATTCAGAACGGGCCTCTTATTGAGTTTGATACTTCATATCGGCCAGCAAAGAATGACATGAGCTGTGGAATCGTGTGGATGATCCGAATGCTCGTCATGACTGAGCACATGCGAATATGCACCGCAACACTGCCACCAGAAGATTCATAACGGGAAGAGATGAGCAACTGTGAGCGCATTCGACTGGGAGTGCCGTGACAAGCCGGCCTTTGGAGCCACGACACTCGATGGGTAGAATCGTCACCCGGTACTCTCCCAGAATGGCATCGTCAACAAGTATATTAGTCCCACAAACTCGTGAATGGTAGGATTGCGGGTCACCAGGGAGGTCGCCAAATAACCACAGTACTCGTGGCTTCGTCATGGCACGCCGTAAAAGAGTCACCCGTGATCTGCGTAAGGGTAAACACTTCTTCTCTCTCGACTTGGCCGTCCGCGATAAACCATTCGAAGTCTCGTAGATGACCAAAGTGGCTGCAAACCCGTGAGCGAAACTTGCCACGTCGGTGCTCAGAGCCGCGGCCAGCTGCCGCAGACACTTAGCAGTGAGTTGCTCTCTGTGACAACCCGATGCAACACTTTCGCCCATCGTAAGGGCTCTGCTCATCCGCGATATAAGACGGACCACGTGCTGATACAGAGAGGAAAGTGAACCGTCAGTAGTGTTGACGCACCTCTCCTGCGCTGATGTAAGATCTGGCAGTTTCGAGTGATACGTAGACGCATATGCACTGACTAGTATGAGGCAGTCGCTCAACGAACAGCCTCATGGACTGGGCGGGCACGTCGAACTCGGAAAGCTCACAATCGAGCTTCTGAGAGGCAGAAGTATTTCGACAGCAGCTTCGGGAAGTGTAACACCTCGAGAGCGAACATCTTGCAAGCGACCGTCTTGAGGGCGAGGCTGTTGAGCTGGTCAACAGCACGGCTCGAGAGAGGCGAGTCAATCCGCCATATGGTCGAACCCCGGTGAGTGTCCACGAGGAAGATCCCGAATGGTGCACAAGGCTGCCTATCGGTCATTCATAGGAGTGTACTGTTCAACGCTTTTGAATGTCACTTTGTAATTGACAACTGAACATATGTTTAATGTAGGAACTGTTAGCATGGCGACCACGCATCACTATAATGTTGATGATTATCATTTTCACAATCATCTGCTAATGACTTCATGACTTGCTCGATAAATCAGAAGCTCAGCAAGGATTATTTTTCGAGAGGACGAGGTGATTTGCATAATTTTTTCGGTAAGAAAATCTGCGGGAAAAACTTTTCCAAGGAGAGACGTTCTGCTTGACACTTGTCTTACCGAACGTGTCAAGCACAGGCGGACTTAGGAGCCTCCTAATGGGAGAGACACTAGCCAGGGTGCCCCAAATAAAGCGACCTCCCATTGAAAAGCGATCGCCAAGAGCGCGAGATGAAAAAAATGTTGATGAAGATCTCCCTATGATGAATGAGATCTCTATTCATCATCTCGAGATGAAGATCCCTCTAATGAGATACCTCTCATTGAGAAATTCGTTGATTTATTCTGCAAGTTACAGACAATAGCACATTTTATTTGGGTTACCCTTTAATAGTAAGGTCAGACCTTGGAGCGTAATCGCATCATAGTCCACATCATCGACTACTGGTGATTCTGCTAGGAAGTGGTAAATTGATCCGGAAAAAAGCGCGAGTAGATGCCTGGCGTGAAAGTCGATGTGCGGCCGAGCGAGGTCTTCACAATGACGGAGAGGTTTCAATTCAAAATCCAGCACTATGAGATTTTGCGTCAGTGTTGAAATATATATATTTGGTTTCCTCAGCTGAGCTCAAGAGTTCCCTCACTACACTAAGAGAATTCACACATGAGTTCGGCTAGAAGTAAGCAACAACTAACAATATTTTCCCAAAATTTCATCAGAATATTCATATTATCACCACCACATACAGTAGAACATGCGCTTACCTTCACCCACTACTCCGCATCATGCTGTTCTTGCTGGTCAGGCCAGCACGATAGAGACCATTGCAAACAGTACACACCCTATACGTGGTAGACTCGCCATGCGCCATAATGCCGAGGATGCCGCCTTCAGAATCTGAAGTTCGGACCCTCCCAGGCTGGGAGCTAATAGCTTTCCAATGGAGTTTCAGCCGTTTTACGTGAAGTGACGTAAGACTCGGTGTAAAACGTGATATTCGCGGTGATATGCAGTAGTCGTGAAATATGTTTTTCGTTAATGTTTTTCATATCACGGGTGAAACTCCAATGTACTAAAAATATGTTCCTAAAAGCCGCTACTACACCTTTTGAAGGCTCACTTGGTTTCAGTGAAAGCAAATTCATCGGCCGGACCAGCTATATAACGACCCGACGATATGTGTTATTGCAATCAATTCTAATTGACGCTATTGAGCCAATAGCGTCAGAGCTTCATAGTTTTCCGTTACTTTCTCCTGCAGACCTTTGATATCATTCAGTAGAACAGCGGCAACATATGCCTCCACTTTGTTCACGACCGAGCGCCCCAAGAGAGACCCGGGCAGGATTGAACTACATGTGAATGTGAAACTTATTGCAGGCGTTGTATGTCATTAAACGCTGCTACGTCGGCGCGGTGTGCAAGGCTGCAAGCCAGAGAGGCTGCCCAATGCCGGTTCAGACGGACAGAAAGTTTGGCGTTGCGCGTGGTGCGGTAGGAGGGAAAATACTAACTTTAACCCGCAGTGAACTTTTGCGAGAGCATTTTGATAACACTACCCGCGCTGCGATTTCGAATTGATACGATGGACGATCAGCATTCCACTGAGGCATTCTCCATGGCCTCTGCTCTGATGTCGCTGATCGCATCGCTGCAATCGTCCACGCCCTTACAGATACTCGATATGTTGGAGATCGAGTCGCGCCGAGCAATGGGGCGTCCCGGACTCAGATACTCAGTGGTTCTTTGGATATAGGTCATCACTGATGACATGTGGCTGAGCTGGCAGAACGTAGGCGTTATACTCTGGTCACTTCACTGTAGATAAGAAGTCCCAAAAGGACTCTTTTTTCAATCTTTAGAGACAGTTAATACGACTCTGAGTCGTATTAACAGTGAACCTGGTCCATGGGCACTACATCGTAGATAGTTGCAGCAGAGAGCATCCCGAGCTTCTCCTGGAAGCGACCTCTGCATGGGACCTAGTTCGTTACCAAATATGGTACCACTTACGTCAACCATATGCCGTTGTTCGAAACTCTACAGGATTTTGAAATCCGCGGGTATCGTACCCGATTCATATGAACAACGGCAATGATCACTAACCGTTAGACCATAGAGCGATCGATTCTTTCGACGCTAACGACACCTTATTGGACTTCGGGACAACCACAAGACTACTTGCTTTCTCAGGAGCTGCTATTGCCCGATTCCTATGCGGTGCTTCTAAGGCCCCTCCCTCCCTTCCGGGAAGAGACTATCCGAGTAGACAAACTTATCTACTTTTCGACGTCAGAATCCTCTATCTTCACATGCAGATTGGAATCGATCATTGCCTCAGATAAGATCATGCATTTCGCCTTAGGTTAGGTCACCTCCATGTCAAATCCAGTCAAGCCGCCGAGAGCGGGTAAATTCAGATTTTCAAGGGAAATCGTGAATAGTCAAGGTGATTTCTCGCTCGCCCCGCGCAGTTTATTCTTGCAAATAGTCAAGGCGCGGGCCAAAACAGATGATGTCCCTACTAGGGACTCCCTAGTGTCCTAGGTTACTATTAACCACGTTATAGCGTCCGTACCTACGGCAAATGATGTCTCTACCTGCGTAATGCGGTCCGCATCGGGCTAGGCCCTAGCCGCTAGGGGTTTACACTGTTATTCCCTTCGGGTTTCTGGTTGCCTTGTTATTCTCTTCGGGTTTCTGGTTGCCTTGTTATTCCCTTCGGGTTTCTGGTTTCCTTGTTATCTGGGTTTCCTGGAATAAGACCGTCGGGGTTCGGGTTTACCCGTAATGACAGTTTTTTGAGAACTTGTATGATACAAGTTCTGATACAAGTTGTATCAGAGCTCGCACTTGAGTAAGAGCTCGCGCTTGTATATGGGTTTTGTCTGTGGATTCCCTGAGGACTTCCCTAAGGAGTCCTCGGCCGACAGTTCTTTGTAAGCTCTGTCGGCTGTGTTTTGGTCCCTTTTAAGCGACTTCTTCCTAAATTATAAATTATAAGCGAGGACTTTGATAGAACGTCGTTTGTCGATCTTCCAGAGTTGAACTCTGAGAGTTCTAGATTGAGACTCCCTCCAAGGTTTCTCGAAGGTGCCCTAATCATTAGGGCCTACTGCCATCTCCGTCCGCTTGTGAGAGTCACCCAGCCGATCTCGAGAGGAGCCTCCCTTCATCTCTCCTCCCCCCATCGTTACCCTTTAGTTCTCAGCAACAGGTCCATACCCCTAGAAGAAAGACGTATTATCAGAATGGAGCGCCTCTTAGGAATTCATTTGCCTCCTACAGAGTAGTTCCAGCGGCAGCAGACGATTGCAGCGTTCAGAGAGTAACCTGGCCGAACAGTTCACCTTGAACTTAGCTCAAATCTCGGACTTGCAATTGAATGGTTGCCATTTTCTTCTCTTTAGGTACTACTTAGATAGGACCACCGTTACTCATCGCCAACGGCGGCACCTACGCAAGGTGTGGCATCTGTATCGCTCTGCTCCACTTCCTGCCGAAGTGGAGCAGAAGCCAGGAAGTGGACAACGCTCTGCCTAGGGCGTTGTCCACTTCAGGGCGTCCTACAATTCCCAACGCTCTGACAACCTCGCTCGTCCTACAACGAGACCCTCGCTCTGGTGCCACCGTGGCGTTGCCACGCGATCAACTACTCACTTCTATCCTTCCTATTTGTGCGTTTAGTTACGGTAAGTCTCAGTATTACTATCTCATACATCCTGAACACACGTAACCGGAGAATGGTTAGGTCTCAGAGCCAAGGTTCGATAGATGATGAACTAGTGTAGGTATGGTGTTTGCATTATAATTGGAATAGGTTGGCAGGTTGGTCTTCCAGATTAGGAATCGCTGCCTCGCCTTCCATTTTATCACAAAAGAACACTGTTTAACTGGCCAACGAAGTCCCCAGCCCTCTCCCTTGAATATTCCCCAAAATTTCACCCAGGGCGAGCGAGATTGCGTCCTTGACTATTCCCCATTCTCCTTGACTATTTGCATTTACCCGCCGAGAGCCGCCGAGAGCTACGAACCACTAAAACAGCATCGAAGAATCTACCGTTTCTGAAAATTACCATCGTCATGAATGATGACTTCATCATACTTATGCTCATGTTCAAGCTCAGATCGAGAGTCGCTGTCTTACATTTTGTGTTGACTTACATGTTAAATTCAGATCTTGAAAACTTATACTTTCTAGCTTTTTCTTAGTATTTACCTCACGTCACCGAGCTGGTCCCCAAACCAAAGCCTGTGGAAACTTCTGATCATCCCACAACAAGCGATCATCTCCCTAAGGTACTCACCATCTATACTGCTCTTGGTCGACAAAGGATCTTGCATACATATCGTTAACCAGTTCCGAGTCCACATAGAGGTAATTGCGCACGCCATTCTAATCGATCACTCCGAACAAGTGTTTCGAGGTTCATTGACTTGATCTTTCTGCTGTTTTTTTGTGATCATTGATACGATTCGTCGGGACTCTCTCGCTTATCGGCTCTAGCGGCACGGTGGTGTACACGATCGTGTGACTGTTGAAGGCGTGGTTATAATTTTCTATGAGTGAGTTGCCCTTGCAATCAAGCAAAAATCAGTATAGGGTTCGACAGGGTCAGTCTGTGATGTCCTAGTAAGCTCGTATTGGACATCTTGGAGAAATTGGAGTAAGGCCTTCTATGCGTTGCTGAATCACAGTACTCAGAGTGATTTGCTACCACCCTTGAATGGCTGAGCATCTTGCCCGAATCTTCGGTACCGAAGAGGACCGTGTGAACTGCCCCTTCTACTTCAAGATCGGAACATGCCGTCACGGTGACCAATGCTCTCGACAGCATAACAGACCGGTCTCTAGTCAGACCGTCCTCCTCAAGGGGATGTACCAGGTAAGGCAGGTTGGACCCCTTACCCCTTAGTATCCTTTCAGAACCCTCCGGCTGCCATTGCTTTGGCTGAGGGTCAGGACGTCGCCGACGAGCAGGCTGATGCCGCTCAGGAGCACTTCGAAGCCTTCTATGAGGAGGTCTTCCTAGAGCTCGCTAATTACGGTACGTCTGGTGCCTACTAGAGGTGGCATTGAGAGTTACCTCATGAGCATGGGCTTGGCAGATTAGATCTACTGTTTCTTAGGAGAAATAGAGGATCTAGCTGTCGTTGATAATATCGGAGATCATATGATTGGTAACGTCTATGTTAAATATGTGAAGGAGGAGAGCTCAGAGATGTGTATCCAGAAATTAACTGGGAGGTGACTCGGACGGTCGACATTGACCCCTGCTATTTGGAGAGCTCATCAGGTTCTATGCGGGTCGTATCATACAGCCCGAGTACTCTCCTGTGACGGACTTCAGTGAAGCCAGGTAGTTACTCTTATGGTTAACGGGGGTAAGAGTGAATTCAGTAGCTCGTAGTGAGAAATACTGTGAGGATCTGCATGTCAGGCATCTCATATAGGTGCCGTCAATTCGATGATGCTCAGTGCTCGCGAGGAGGCTTCTGCAATTTCATACATTGGAAGCACGTCCCGAGGAAGCTGAGGAGGTACTCATCGGACTTCTCTGCTTTTCGCCATTGACAACTCCATCTCAGGAGACTCTATCGTAAGATGTACGAGCTACATCCAGAATACCGCAGTCGTTCGAGGTCCAGATCGAGAGAGCGTCGCCGTTCTAGGAGTAGGAATTAGATAGGTTCTCAAGTGCAGTGATGCGGTTCTCAGGTCGTGATCGTGGACACCGTAGCCATCATCACCATCATGATGACCGCGATCGTCGTGATCGTGGCCGTGACGATCGAGGCCGGGACCGTGGTCGTGAAAGGCAGACTTCCGAGGAACGTCGCGCCATGATTGACCAGTGGAATCGTGAAGCCGAGGCACAAGGTGGTATCGATCAAGCTCAGCTATAAAGTGATTGGATACGAAGCGAAGTGGTGGATGATGGTTTCCCTTAAGAGTTGATAGACATTGCTGCTTATTCATCATAAGCATTGTGTTATCGAGTTTTTCGTGATTCTATTGTCTAGTGCGCCTCGGTCAGAACTCTTTCAACCAACTTGGTCGGTTGGTTGGTTGAACCAAGGGCTACATCAGAAGCTCTTCCAACAGAGGCTATTATGGTGGAGAATGTAACGAGCTTTCTGTGATGGATACGTGCTTGTAGCATCTGTGAACTCCGCACTCTACCATAGGAACCATCGAGAAG